AAAGGTTGCATGCATTAAAGGGTAGATGAGATGAGTATGAGCAATACATGAAATGCAGTAGATAACAGCAAAAATAATCCATTTCTAGGCACAGAGTGAAAGCAGATACCAGATACAGCTGTTAAGCTGTGCACCAGACATGGTGATCAACCAGGGTGGCTTAGAAGTCAGAAAGCTCTGGGAGCAGCTGACTCTGAAAAATAAAAATGACACAATATTTCAAGAGTTTAAAAGTGGCAAGTAGGGGTTTAGACAACTGCTGAAGACTTTAAGGTTGAATTAGTGATAAGAATGTGGAAGACCAAACACATAGAAAAATCAAGATAATTTATCAGTGCAGGAAAATGAGTTGTGCAAGCAAAGAACAGCTGTACTAGGAGTTAGCAGAATATAGCCCCAAATCCACCTGCTGTCTATTTTTATACAGCCTTCAAGCTAAGAATACTTTTAACATTTTTAGATGGTTGAAAAAAGGTCAAAGGAAGAATATTTTATAATACATTTAAAATACATAAACTTGGAGCACCTGTGTGGCTCAGTTGGTTAAGTGTCTAACTCCTGATTTCAGCCCAGGTCATGGTCTCTTAGTTTCATGGGTTTAAGCCCCAAGTCTGGCTCTGTGCTGATGGTGCAGAGACTGCTTGGGATTCTCTCTCTCTGCCCCTCCCCCACTCGTGTTCTCTGTCTCTCTAAATAGACATCTCTAATTAGCCCATCTCTAAATACCACTACATGAAATCAATAAACTTAAAAAAAAAAAAAAAACCTGAGCTAAAATCAAAAGTCAGACACTTAACCAACTGAGCCACCCATACCCTGAACATTTTTTTTTTAAGGCTTATGGATTCATGCCTCATTGCAGGGATGGCAGAGTAGCACTTGTATCCCAGGAATCTGAAAGCTGACAATCTTATGACTGTTTCTCCATCTATGTTATACATTTAAACACATGTGAAGCATAGATTTAAGGTCATCCAAACCTGCCGTGATTGCCTCATTCCAAAGTGGCTGTATGGTCATTGTTTCTTTTACCCAACCATAAAATGACTTATAAGTGGTGATCATTTTAATAGTAACCTAAGATCAATCTTCCCACGTTTATTTTTTAATTTAGTATTTATTTATATTTTTTAAATTGTGGTAAAAGACATGTAACATAAAATTTACCAATTTAGTCATTTTTAAATGCACATTGTGTATATTTTAGCTGTGTGGTAGCATTAAGTGCATTCATGTTGTTATGCAACCATCACCACCATCCATCTCCAGAACATTTTCATCTTGCAAAACTGAAAATCTGTACCTATTAAACTTTAACTCCTCATTTCCCCCTCTTTCCAGTCCTTGGCAGCCACCATCCTACTTTCTGTGTCTGTGAATTTGACTACTCTCAGTACCTTACGTAGGTGGAATCATACAGTATGTGTCCTTTGTGACTGGCTTATTTTACTGGCATCATGTTCTCAAGGCTCATCCATGTTGTAGCATGTGTGAGAATTTCCTTAATCTGTGATTTCTTACTTTTGCAGGAGTTTCAGGTTCCTTATGCAGAGCCTTAACTACCTAGATAAAATTATCCTCAAATTCGTTTTTCTAAAGAGTGAGTGTAGTGTTCCCCAAAAAGCTGAAAAACTGTCTGGTACCTGCTAATGATTATAGGAGCAGCGTCCACAATAGCCAAAAGATGGAAATAATCGACGTGACCATCGACAGATGAATGAATAAAGAAAATGTGGTATATTCATACAGTGAAATATTATTCAGCTTTAAAAAGGAAGGAAATTCTGACACATGCTATAACATGTATCAAAACATTATATTAAGGGGTGGGGGAGGGAGGATGAAGAGTTAATATTTAATGGGTACTGAAATGAGTTTCAGTTTGGGTAGTGATCTGAAGGTTAATTTCAACAACTTATGTTTATGAGAATCACATAGTTCAATTTATGACTATTGATGACAATGTACATTGTTTGTGAAATGCCCAAGTGATACATTCCCCCTTGACTTTAGTTCTAGGAAAGTTTGCTTTCATGGTGAAATGCTACTTGCTCTGTTTATGAGATAACAAGAAGTCTACCTTTCTCCTTTGACTGACAGGAACTGAGAATCACTTTTTATGATGATGTGTAGTGATTAGCTGTCAAACCAGTATTTCCTTGGACAATCATTAACCATCATTAAATTAATAATTCATGTTTCTACTCACTTTGAACACTGTGAGTGAAGCAGCTTGGTGACAATTCAGTGTCTGCAATCCAGACTGCTGACTTTTGTGACTTCAAACCAAGTTTCTCAGTCCAAAATGTCTTAACAGCAGGTCTGTTCCTATCATCTATCACATAGCTTCTTGTTGTATTCTATTTCTAGAAAATGATTCTCATATATTAAAAAAAATAATGTTTATTTATTTTGGGAGAGAGAGAGAGAGAGAGAGCATGAGCAGGGGAGGGGCAGAGAGAGACATACACACACAGAATCTGAAGCTGGCTCCAGGCTCTGAGCTGTCAGCACAGAGCTGACTCAGGGCTTGAACTCACCAACTGTGATATCATGACCTGAGCTGAAGTCAGACGCTTAACCTGCTGAGCCACCCAGGCACCCTTGATTCTCACATTTTTAAGGTTCCTCCAAGGTCTCTTCAAATCCATATTATATGCCACATTGCCTGTGTTTTAAATCAGATCATCTCAACCATATCCTCCAAATTTGGTTTAAAGATATCCATACAGATTTTTTTTCTAGTGCAGTATTAGACAAAACTAAAACTTTATTCATATGGACAGTGCTGTCCATATATACACCATAGCCCTAGTTCTTTTGTCACTTGGGTTCCAAATTTTGGGCACTAAATTTTAACTATCTCTTTTTCTCTCCTCAAATATCCCATCACCTGTCAAATTCTGTAGCTTCTGTCTTTACAATTATTTTACATCTGATTCTTCTTTTAAAATGTTTATTTATTTTTGAGAGAGACAGAGGGAAAGTTTGACAGGAGCCGAGAGAGAGGGAGACACACAATCTGAAGCAGGCTCCAGGCTCTAAGCTGTCAGCCCAAAGTCTGATGCGGGCCTCTACCTAATGAACCATGAAATCATGACCTGAGCCAAAGGCTGAGAAGGCTAATGCTTAACCGACTGAGCCATCCAGGCTTCCTTTCTAATCTCAATGTCACTCTCCCATCTTCTTTCTTCAGGGCTTTATAATTATGCAGTACCTGCAATCTTGGTCTATTTGGGCTGCCGAAACAAAATATCACAGAATGGTGGGTTGCAAACAGAAGTTTATTTCTCACAGTTCTGGAGGCTAGATGTCTAAGATCAGGTGCCAGCATGGTTGGATTCTGGTAAAGCTCTCCTCCACGTTGTAGATTGCTGACTTCTCACTATCTCCTCACATGGTGGAAGGGGGGAGGGATCTCACTAGAGTCTCTTTTATAAGGGCACTAATTCTGTTCACAAGGGCAGATCCTATCTCTAAATACCATCACATTGAGTATTAAGATTTCAACATAAAAACTTTGTGAGGACACATTCAGATCATAGCACTAGATTATTCCAATATTCTTCTAACAGGATTGTCTGCCATACCTCTCCTCTATCCAGTCGGTTCCCTAAGCTGTTGTCAGATCTATCTTCACTCTTAACATTTATACAGGCCTTCTAAAATGTGGCTCAAACCAAAGGTCTGGTCCAATTACTACCATTCCTCTATGCATACCCAAGCCCAGACTGAAGTACTCACTGTCTCCTCAAGCTGTCCTGCATTTTCTCACCTTAATGCTTTGGTTCATGTTAGGTCCTGGTGGAAAGTGCTTCTCCTCATCCTACCCCCAATCTCTGCCACTCAAATACTATCCATCCTCTATATGCCACTTCCTTAATTTAACTCCTCCTGATTCCAAAGATGTGATCTGTACTGGTTTTAACCTTCTCTAGCTTTTTATATCTGGTTGTCTCTTGTGCCAAATGGCATATTGGTCTTATATTAAACTTATTTGTGTATTTTTGTCTCCTACATAAGTTTCTAAGATAAAGAACCATGGTTTTTTAGCCACTTACGTTTCTTTATATTTTCTGCTTATATCAATGTCTTGCTTTCCAAAGGTACACAGGAAAGTATGTAATAAATTGAAATTGGCATAACTCCAATATTGGCAACATATTCCCCCAAAAAATAACTCAAAGAGGGGTTAAAAAAGATGCTATTTGTATAAAAATGTTTATTCAGAACAGCGATATGTTTATTCAAAAATGTTTGTTCAGAACATTCCTAACATAACAAACAATCCAAAAGTTCAACAATAACAGAATGGTTAGATAAATCAAGGGCAGGACCCGAATCTAATTCTTCTCCTGTGCCTGCCCATAGGGAGTATTTACAATTTATCAAATGAGAGGTATAACACTCTAACGGGATATGATATAGCGAAGTGCATATGAAATCAGATTTAGGTACAAATAACATCACAAAACATACTTATTACATGTATTGAAAACCTATGGAAGCACGTTGTTAATAATCGTAAGGGCCGAAAGAAAGCCATCTGTCACATTTGTACAGTAATTTAAAAGGCGTCCTCATACATACTTTGATTCTCACAAACCTGTGAAGTACGCACGGGAGGCATTATTAACTCCGTTTTACAGGTAAGGAAACTGACCCACTGGGGTCAGGAATGATTGACTAAGGCGGAGCCCGGACTCTAGTTTCCGCCTCCCGGACCAGGGTCCTTTCCCTGCCACTCCTCGGCAACCCTGATTGGTGCTGGAGGTCTCAGTTTCCTTTTCTTCCCCGGCATTCGGTTTGCAAACCCTGCCCCGAGACGCGGGCGGCTGGCGAGCTGCATTTGCGCTGCGAGGCGCAGGTGCAGCCGAGGCAGACAAGCTGAGCCTTAGGCCCCGCGCGACCATAGAGTCCGGAAGTGCGGCCAGAGCAGCTCGCGGGGGCGCCGCACCGGGGGAACCCGGGACCAGGAGGGCAGCGCAGGAGCGGGCGGAATGGCCGCAATGCTGGCCATGAAGGTGGTCACGGGGCTGGCGGCAGCGGCACTGGCGGCAGTGCTCTTGGAGCACTATGGCCTGGCTGGTCAGCCCTCGCCGCTGCCCCAGCCCCGCGCCCCCCGGAGCCCGCACCCCGCTCCGGGCCCCGGAGCCAGCAACATCTTCTGGGGTCTGCAGGTGACGCAGCGGGAGCAAGGCGGGGGGTGGGTGCAGAGCCTGCCCGACGGGGTGAGACGCGGGCAGTTCCCGCGGGGGCGTCACTGCCGCGGCCCCAAACTTCTGGCTGGGGACTCTGTCCTTCCTTGGGAGGGTTCGTTATTGCATTGCATCCTTGCCTTTTCCGTCCGCCTTCAGAGAGCTGCCGGGTCGCCTGCTGTCTGTGCTTCCTCTTCCTGACTCAGATATCTCTGTTTAATACCTGCTTTCGGCAGATATCCGACATTCACCTGAGCAGGTTTCGCGATCCAGGCAGAGCTGTAGACTTAGAGAAGTTCTGTTCAGAAACTATTGGCATCATTCAACCAGCTCTCGTCCTGGCAACAGGTAGGGAGGGTTGCCGTGTGGTCGTGTTGTTCTGTGATCAGAATGGTAGAATGCTAGCCTGGGCTGCAGCTTTTCACTTCGGGGACGTTGGGAACACTATAGCCCCAGCCCCCGGTGAGTCCTTCTGTAGAGGAGATGGGACATTGCGGTTACCTTTGCCATGGGTAACTGAGTCAAGATCCAAGTAACTTTGCAGTAGCAAGGTTCCCTCAAAGCAGAAGCAAGGCTCGTGATATCAGTTAGTATGCCGTTTACTATATCTTATATCTGTACCTGTTTGTCGTCGTCGTGGTTCTGGATTTGAGAGAGGATTCGGGAAAGTCCTTTAACCACAAATCAGAAGTTATCTTTTTTTTTTTTTTTTTTAACTAACATTTACAGTTTGTTTGTTTGTTTGTTTTACAACGTTAGTCAACCTTATGTTGTCAATTGTTTGAGGCTTAAAGTGACTCAGGACACTTTTCTTCATCTCTTGGTACTTCTGTGGCTTGGCTTCTCCGGACTAACTGCTCCCAAATGTGTTGAAGGACAAGCTAAAAAAGCATCTGTCTTGTCTACTGGGGGATTCATATCCCACCCACCTTACTGGAACACCTCTGCTGACATGATAGAGTATCAGTCCTCATTTTATAGAAAACCTCAATTTCAACTGTACACTTAGTTTTCTAGAAATGTTGGTGTTTCATTGTCCAAACCACATCTTCCAGATTGCTTCTTGCTGTAAAAATAACACTTGGTCAGATTACATACCCTGATTTGGGGTGTGGAAATATGGTTGTCATAGATATCAGGCTTCTGCCCAGAGTGTTGGAATTTCTTATAGTTTTCATTTTTATCAGAGTTTCATGATGCATTTTGTATTGCTCTCTTTAAAGATAATTTTTTTTCAGAACCCATTTCTAATATCACAGGAGGTTAAACAGGCACTTGCTAACCCAGAAGAAACAAAGTCCTTGCTGAGAAAATCTTATTTTAAATGGCTTGCTGTGGACATAGATGGACTCATAAGTTGTTATGTTTATACATGTTGAGTACTTTAAGTGTCTTTGTTCCTTTAGTGTGCACTTAAAAACAATTTTTAACCCCCTGGGGCTTATTTTACATTGTGATTCAAGTCTTATATAAATCTACAGGAGATCTCACTGATGCCAAAACAAAGGAACAGTTTGGATCCAGGCAGCATGAGGTAGAATGGCAAACTTACCATGGTATTCTGAAGAAGACAAGGGTCTTGGAAAAAACCAAGTGGCTTGATATCAAAGGAAATCATGGTAAGAGTCAAGACCCACGTAAAATCAAAACTAGTTTTTTTCCCCCTTCAAGAGCCTACATTCTCCAATTTAGATTATAAAAGTATAAAATGGGAATGTTGTAACATAGGTTTAGATAGACTGAAGGCCACAACTCTGAAATACAACTATGTGATTTATTTTATTTTTTTATTTTTTATTTTTTTCCAACGTTTTTTATTTATTTTTGGGACAGGGAGAGACAGAGCATGAACGGGGGAGGGGCAGAGAGAGAGGGAGACACAGAATCGGAAACAGGCTCCAGGCTCTGAGCCATCAGCCCAGAGCCCGACGCGGGGCTTGAACCCACGGACCGCGAGATCGTGACCTGGCCGAAGTCGGATGCTTAACCGACTGCGCCACCCAGGAGCCCCTATATTATGTGATTTAAAACATCACATGTCACTTTTAGCCTATGAGGGGAAAGTTGGTATGGCCCTTTCTTCTTTACATGAAGAAAAGCTTCTAGCAAAACCTATGCAGGAAGTTGTTTAAAAAATACATACATTTTGGGCACCTGGCTGGTTCAGTTGTAAAGCATTTGACTTGTGATCTCAGGGTAGTGAGTTCGAGCTCATTGGGCATATTGAAGTAGCCTCCAAGCCACACTGGGCATGGAGGGTACTTGAAATAAATGAATGAATGCATGAATGAATGAATCAGTCAGTCAAATACATTTTGCTGATTGAAGGAAACTACCACCCATAAGTCTACATACTGTGTGATTTCATTTATATGACATTCAAGAAAAAGCAAAACTGTGGAGAACAGATTATGGTTGCCAAGGGTTGGGGTTGGGACAGAGGCTGACTACAAAGAGGCATCATGAGAGAATTCTGGGAGGTGATGGAACTGTTCTCCATTGTGGCAGTAGATACACCTATGCATTTGTCAAAACCCAAAGAACTGTACATCACAGTAAATGAATTTTACTGTGTATACATTAAAAAATTAAATGGCAAATAAATCTCCGTATGCATGAGGAGAGAAATAGATAATCCCTTCCCATTTTTTAGATTGTTATTATAGTGTTAATAGGGAAATGAACTCTTCTGCAAAGTGTTATAATGGTAGGTTTGTTTTATAAAGGTTGTCTTCCTTATGGTTAAGTACTTCGCTTCATTTGATTATTAATTGCTATTGTGTACCTAATTATATATATATTTTTAAAGCTATCATTTGAAACAGATAGTTCTATCTGGTGAAATGCACAGCTATTGGTTTGATCAGAAAATGCCCTCTTTATAAATAGTTCTTACCAAACAACTAGGAATCATTAATTGATGTTGGGATATCTGGCTTACAACTTTCTCTGGTATACCCCATAAGTTTGGCCCCAACTAACCATGGTTCAACTTAAAATGGTTAGACCTATGATTTTCAGACTTTACAATGGTGTGAAAGTGATATACATTCAATAGAAACTATACTTCAAATTTTGAATATTTATCTTTTCCTGGGCTAGTGATATGCAGTATGATACTCTGGTAATGCTGAACACGATCACCAGGTTAAACAGCCAATAACCTTATAACCATTCTGTGCCCATGCAACTATTCCATTTTTCACTCTAAGTATAGTATTCAATAAGTTACATGAGCTATTCAACACTTTATTATAAATCAGACTTTGTGTTAGATGATTTTGCCGAACTATAGGCTAATGCCTATAAACATTATAATGCCTATAATGCCTATATAATGCCTATAAAATGCCTTTAAACATTCTGAGCATGTTTAAAGTAGGTAAGGATAATCTCTTGTTCAGTAGTTTAGGTGTGTTAAATGCATTTTTTCTTTTTTCTTTTTTTATGTTTTTTAAAAGTTATTTTTGAGAGAGAGAGACAGAGCACGAGCAGGGGAGGGGCGGAGAGAGAGGGAAACACAGAATCTGAAGCAGGCTCCAGGCTCTGAGCTGTCATCACTAGAGCCCCACATGGAGCTCGAACCCACGAACCGTGAGATCACGATGTGAACCAAAGTCAGATACTTAACCAACTGAGCCACCCAAGTGGCTACTTAAATATTTCCAACTTATAGTAGATTTGTCTGTAAATTGAGCAAAATCTGTATTTACATTTCCCTTTTTTCCTAATCCTAATTAGTGGTAGAGATCAAATTCTTTTGCAATAAAAAGCATGCCTGTACATATTTAAAACATTTTTTCAGGCCAAGCTACTTTATTTCAAGTAATAAATGTCAGACTCTTGTGATTAGATCTTGTGAGCAGAACTTGTCCTTTGGAGTTCATGATAATCTAATTTGACTTGTATAGGCACAAATGCTTATGGTATGTGTTTTTATACATGTTTATATACTGTGTTAAGATAGGAGGAAACTATTTTTTATTAAGATTAACTATAACAGTGTAGTTCTTTTAGTAAGAGGATTACATACACAATAATATTTCTTTTGTCCTAAATTGGACTTAACAACTTATTCTCTAAAGTTATTAGAAATGTAGTAGATTCTTGGAATTCCAAGCCGAGGTAAATAATTTTAGTTATTGCAACCAGGCAGTCGAGCTCTATGAAATCATCATTATTTCCAGATAAGTGTTCTAGGACCACCTTACCCGTTACCATTATATAACTCTTTTCTTACTGAATCGTTTTGAGACTTAAGAAGAGAGGGACTTTGGCTCTGTTAGCAAAGTGATCTGGTGTTCAGAAACACTTGGCATGGATCTTTGTATCAGGCATGTTTCACAGGATTAAAACAGCAGCAACAACAGTCCAATCTTACAACTTGAAATTGATTTATACTGTATAGTACGTAGTATCAAAGTATTTATTATTCTCTAGTATAGTAGGTCTCTTAAATAAGTTTCCAGATAGTATGAATTCTTTTATCAAGATTTAAGAATTATCAAGCTAATTTATTGGCATTCTAGCATTTAAAGGGTTATTGAAAGTATTGCCATTTTGCTTTAGTCATTAACATATTTGTATCCTCCTTTTTAATATAGATGATGTTTGTTCTTTTCCTTTTAATTAGATGTATTCAACATTGCAAGTCTGGAGAGTGTCGAGAATTATTACAGGTACTGTAATGAACAGAAGACCATGAGGTAGTACAAGGAGGGTGCAGTCAAGTCAATGAATGGGTAAAAACATTTTTTAAGTGACAAAATTTCTATATAAAGACCCTCTGGCAATATAGAATTTTAGTGTATTCAGTGACAGATTAAATTCTTTTTTTTCCTCCCAAGCCTTTTTCTTTCTTTAATTCCTTTTATTTCATATACTTTAATGCTTTTTATTGCCTAATAAATACTTTCACTATTTCACAGAAACTTTTTTTGCCATTGATGCATAGCAGAAGTCGTTTTTTTAATTTTAGTTTTTTTTACTTAGGTATGACTGACATATAACATTATATTCATTTCAGGTGTACAACATAAAATGTTGATGTTTGTGTATATTGTGAAATAGTAACCATGATAAGTCTAGTTAACACCCATCACTACGCATAGTTAAAACACTTTTTTTTCTTGTGATAAAAACTTTAAAAATCTACTCTCAACAACTTTCAAATATACAAGTGTTTTTGACTCTAGTCACCATGCTATACCTCAGAAGTCATTTAGGTTAGAGTTTGTCACTAGAGTACTGTGGATTTTAAGAATACTGAGAAACTGATTCTCTTAGCCTCTAGGAGCATCGTTGGTCACCCTGGCTGCTCTGTCCTTTTGTCCCAGTATGCCATAGAAATATTAGAATTTTCTTTATCTGCTGTGAATGTGAAAAAGACTGTGAATGTGAAAGGCTGTTTAAGTTAGAGACCAGTTCTCTAGTTTCAATGTGTTGGGCTTCTTTTAGTTGTAATTTCACTTTCAGTTCCAGGGTATTTGATAGTTTTGTCTTACAATGTCAATCACTCAAGTAGTGAGAATTTATTGAGAGCCCATCATTAGTTGGGTAATGTGAAAGATACAAGAACTAATATTAAAAAATGTAGCCTCTACCTTCAAGGAAGTCCAGTTAAGGGCGATAAGAATTGTTTAGGAAACAATTAGAAAAGAACAATGAAGGGATGACTGATGAAATGCTAGATTATTTGGTACACGTGATAATCACTATGAGAAATCTGAAAGGGCAGAAGTCAGCATAGGGCAGACATAGAGGAGACTTCATTTTATTTTATTATCGAGATTTAATTGACATATAACACTGTGTAAGTTTAAGATGTACAACATGTTTATGTGATACGTTTATATATGGTGGAATGATGACTACCTTAGAGTTAGCTAATAATTTGATTACCAACACATAATTATCATTTCTTTTTTGTGATAAGAATAATTAAGATCTAGTCTCTTATTGACTTTTTTTTTAAGTTTATGTATTTATTTTGACAGAGAGGCAGAGAGAGAAGGAGTGAGAGAATCCCAAGCAGGCTCTACATTGTCAGCACAGAGCCTGACGTGGGGCTTGATCCCACAAACCCGTGAGATCATGATCTGAGCCGAAATCAAGAGTTGGATACTTAACCGACCGAGCCACCCAGGCACCCCAAGTCTCTTAGTAACTTCCAAATTTATAATACAGTATTGTG